CAGAGCACTTGTTGACTGGATTTGATCGAAGTAAGATCGTTCGATCGATCATAGTGGCGGCTGGGAGGTGCCATTTTTAAGGAATTTAGTTTAAGTTTATTTTTTTTATGAAGAGCTGTTGATTTAAAAGCAACAATTTAAGTTATTTTGGGTGCTTTGTACGAAGATACTTTAAGTTGGATCACCTCAGCCGGTAAGATTAAATTATAAATAAATTACATGAAAAAAAATCCTTTCATACCATCCTCCATTGTCAGTGAAATTCAAATCTATTTTAATTCCTTCTTGAGAGGTATTTCACATATTTTATACATGTCATATTTCACCTTATTTCATTAATACCTAAATATATTACAAGTATTAGATTTCATATCTATCTCAAATTTTATTTCCTTCCAAGGATGAAAGCAAACAATTATTTATTTCAAGTTCCTACCGTTTAAACCGGCTAATATTTTTTTTTTTCCTATTCTATAATATATAAAGATCACGCTTTCCGTTCAAACTATCTTATAAAAAACATTGTCACACCATTCGAAGGTAACTATTTACCAAAACCATTAAGGTTTTTATTTCAATTTAAGGTCACTTGTTGACATTTCTTGTATCACCTTTTAAGGTTGATAAACATTGTGTGTTTTTTCATACCTTTTTGTATGTACAAAGGACATGAAGTAACACAATGGTTCCTTTTTTTTAGCCTACTTCTGGAATCCAGTCACAAGTCAGGGAAGAAACCTTTAGTTTTTGGGTTATATTTATTAAGAAAAAGGGGAAGAAATTTTAAGTTTAGGGGTTTTATATGGGGATTTAAGAAGAATTTTTTATTACATGGAATCCAGGCTTGGTGTACCTGTACCCACCTGAATCTAGTTCTTCACCGGATCATCTTCCAGATCAACCGACGGAAACCGGCAGGAAGAACTTATTTTTATTTTTTTTTTGCTTCTCATTCCAGTATTTTTTTATAACTTTTGCAACATCCTCTTCAAGGTTTTAACTTTTGCTTCACTTATAATTTAAATATATATCTGTAATAATAAATTCATTCAATTTTTCTAAAACAATAGTCATTATAACTTAATTCCAATTATTTATTGTCTACCAAGGGATGAGGTTTTAACTCTCCCTTGAATCTCTCTTTGTTAGGTTATCGTGTGCACACATATCCGGAGAGTTTCATTTGAAAATTTAAACATTTAATTAAACTAAAACTAAATTATTAGTGAGTAGTATTTTTTTTATATTTAGTATTTATACATAATTATTGAGTATAACCTTTGTCAGAATTTAAAATTAAGAGGTAGATTAGGGGGGAAATTGTTTTATAATTATATTCAGGGATTTAATTGTAAATATAGATAAGTTAATTGTACATAAGAGGTGGTGGGTCATAGATAAGTATTTAACATAGTCTGTACATAAGTTTTGGGTAATTATTAAAGTTGTGGTTAAAAATTTAGTATTTCAATTAGTACCCAACTTTTTAGATTTCAGCAATACAAGATATCTCGGAAAAAAACATTTAACTTCCTGGCGCCCAAACATTCAGTAGAGCAACTTTATCTTTCATCTGTTTATTTCTTGGTAGTTTCTAGTCATTAATTCTTACATCTTACGGTCTCTGTAGGGCATGCAAATTGGCCGAATCCCTCTTTGAGTGTCAAGTGGTCATTCTCCTGCATAGTCGCTAGCCAGCATTAATTTTATTATATTTTAAAATTCATATTTACCCTTTATTTATTTCTTTCACATAATTTATTTCTATCTAATCCCTTCCATCTTCTGTTATTCCACATATTAGTTCGTTGGTGTATCAAGGTACATTTTAGAGTTTACCCTATTGCTACACTGCACATTTTTGCTACCCATTCCTCATTTTTGTTACATTTCCCTACTCTCACATTTCCTGTTACATTGTTTCACCAGAAATAAATTTCATTCTTGTTATAAGGTACCACTTAAATATAGAAGGATGCATTTTACTCCTTAAAATATACATTTGTCGCTAATTTTAATCCGAACAATCCAACTAGATACAACATATTTACTGATCATTTTAAAAACTTATATACTAAAAATAAGAATGTGAAATCACCATTATACGAAAGAGTTAGGCAAACTCTTATTGCTTTACAAATTTCGATTCCATATACCTATTTCAACTTAATTGGAATTTCTGTTCCTTGGACAATAAGCATTCCTCAATCCAACATATCCTTACAATTTTTGTAGACAGACAGTATCGGTCTGTCTGTCCGATACTCCCTACTCCTTAATAAACAATACCATCACCAAAAAACTTAGTTAAAATGTTCTAACTTCTATCATGTAACATCAATGTAACATTGTTATTAAATTTATACTACAGCCAACGATCAAATGTAAAGATTGGAAGAGAAGTGTCAGAAGAAGTGGAGATAAGGAGAGGTGTCAGGCAATGTTGCATACTGTCGCCGTTATTGTTTCTTGTTTATTCTGAAGAAATCATAAAAGAAGCTTTGTTAAACGAGGCAGTCGGCATAAAAGTGAACGGAAGTTTAACTAACAACATTAGGTATGCCGACGATACAATCATAATAGCCGACAACTTAGAAGACTTAGAAAGAATAATGAACGAAATATTAAGATATTGTGGAGAATACGGACTCTTTATTAACATTAAAAAAACCAAATTCATGAAAATTAGCAAGACTAACAATACAAATGAAATTTTAACAGTAGGCGGCCAGCAGATTGAGAAAGTAAAAATATATACTTACTTGGGAACGATAATCACAGAAAATAACGATTATACTGCAGAAATAAGAGACAAAATTGAAAAAGCACGTGCCAATTCGTGAAAATGAAAAAAATTTTATGCAGCAAAGATCTGACATTGGCCTTCAGAATAAGGCTAATTAAATGCTATGTACACAGTGTACTCTACTCTGGAGCTAAATCATGGACATTAAACCGGAATACAATAAATCGATTTAACGCGTTTGAAATGTGGTCATTTAAAAGATTAAATAGGTAAAGAAATAATAAATAAGACTTACTCACAATCAATTTAATTTAACTATCAGACGACCGGTTTCGCTCTCTACAATATGCAGAGCATCTTCAAGTCTCGATACAAAGTTAAACAAATGCTGAAATGATAAAAACCCATATTAGGGTGTTATCTAATAAAGATAAACAAAGTAGATGTTGGAAATTACAATAATTATGCCAATATTGTAATGTGTGCCAACCACAGACATGTAATATTGGCACAATTATTGTAATTTCCAACATCTACTTTGTTTATCTTTATTAGACAACACCCTAATATGGGTTTTTATCATTTCAGCATTTGTTTAACTTTGTATCGAGACCTGAAGATGCTTTGCATATTGTAGAGAGCGAAACCGGTCGTCTGATAGTTAAATTAAATTGATTGTGAGTAAGTCTTATTTATTATTTATTTACCTATTTGAAATGGACTCACACAAGCTACACAGTCATGATTTAAAAGATTGTTAAGTATTCCATGGGTAGATAGAGTCACGAATACAGAAATGTTAAGGAGAATAAGCAGAGAGAGGAAAATGGCAAATACGATAAAAGAAAGGAAATTGCAATATCTCAGACATGTGATGAGAGGCGAGAGATATAACATCTTGACACTCATAATTCTAGGAAAAATAAAGGGTAGGAGAAGAGTGCGGAGAAGACGCGTTTTCTGGTTGAAGAACCTGAGAGAGTAGTTTGGTTGCAGCTTAAGGCAATTGTTCAGATCAGCTGCCTCAAAGGTCAGAATAGCCATGATGATTGCGAACCTTCGTCACGGAGACGGTACTTAAAAAAGAACTTTTATCACGTATACACATATACCTCTAAAACCTCTACTGGGATTGGAGCATCTGTCATCACTTCAAATATTACACTTGAGTATAAACCACTATCCTTCAGAGGCGTAAATACTGGTAAGTTATATGCCATGTACCAAGCTCTTACTCACATTAACTTTGGTAATTTATTTAAAGCTCTTATAATTACCGATTTCCTCAGTTCCATCAATACCATTAACCAGCTTCACAATAAATCCAATTGCTCTACTAATAAAAGAATTAGCTATCATACAAAACAGCAACCGTACTGTACAATTTCTAAGGGTTCCTTCACAAATTGGACTGCAAGGGAACGAAGAAGCAGACTGCATTTCCCAACAAGTAAGAAACAGTAAAACCGCGAGTGAAGTGAGACATATAGTGCTAAATGACTTTAAATCATTTGTTAAAGTAAAAGTTGAAAATTTGTGGCAAAACCACTGGGACAGTTCAACTTTAAAACTTCGCAAAGTTAGAATATATGCAAAACCGTAGAAATATCAAATATCATCAAGTCATTTATGTGACAATTGTAATGTTTCACTCAGTGTTAAGCATGTTCTAGTAGAGTGTCCGAAATACCAGTTACAAAGACAGACCAACCACATCATCGGAACAACAAGTGAAATTTTAGGAGAAAAATGTAAAATTGAAAAATTTGTAAAATTTAAAGGCATTAATTCACAAAATTTAATATTTATAAGTCAATTATCTTAAGTATATGTTTATATGTTGGTAACAAGGTTGATGCAACAATGTTTTTAAATAAAAAAAATATATAAATCGACCTGTCCGAGGATTTCGTCAAAATATTTTTAGTTACAAAAATATAGATTTTGTGCACACCTCTACGTTCTCACTGTATATTGGTTCCGCTATTTGATTGTTTGTCCAAAGGTCAACATAAATTAGCCATGACTTGTAACAATCTAAAAATAAAAAAAACATTATGTATAATTTAGTAAAATATCGCGCAATTTTTGGTAGATGTGAGTGGTGTTAAAATAGATAAAAATTATCTCTTTATTAATAGATAAAGAAGAGACTATAAAGTTTTAGTGTTGGGATAATATTTGATACAATTGTCAAAGCTGTAGTTTAATATAGCATCATTTGTTGCTAGATAGTATTTCTAAATAGTACAAAATGTCATATATTGTTACAGAAAAAGCAAAATCATGGATTCAACAATCCATGGGTACCGAAAATTGCATCATCACCATAGAAAATACGACTATGAAAGGAGAAGGTTACGTCGGAGATTTAATTTTTGCAAAAGTTGAACTTCCGTTCAGTGAAGCTAAAGTGGGAGACAGAACTGTGTTTATAGTTTTAAAACGTAATAATCAGGATCCATCAGTTCAAAAACTAATTCCTGTAGTGCACGAATTCTGTAGAAGGGAAGTATATTTGTATAGTACAATTTTTCCAGCATATCAAAAGTTTTATAAAAATAAAACACTGCAGGATGACTATTATATAGTTCCAAAGTGTTACAAAGCCTTTTTGGAGGGCGAAAATAACGTTGTTGTTTTAGAAAATCTTAAAAGGAAAGGTTATGTGCTGCAACAAAGAGATAAGACAATGAACTCCGCTCAAATCAAACTGTGTTTAAAATCTTACGTCAAATTACATGGTTTGGCCTTTGCCATGGGGGATCAAACTCCAAATGAATTTAAAATGTTGTCTAAAGACTTGCCTCCTTTGATTAAAGAGGCATTTGCTCATTTTAAACCAGTCTTTGGGAGGAAATCAATTGCTATAATTGATGCATTAAAAGAAGTTGGAAGAGAAGACTTATCAGTTAAATTTGAAAATTATAATAGGGAAAACAGTATCTTTAATCGCTATGTTGGGGCTGCCGATACTACCGTGGAGGAAAAAGTAATTATTCATGGTGACTGCCATAATGCTAATATGCTGTTCCTATCCAAGGTAAATATTCATATATTTATTTTTTATTAATATTTTACCACTACTATAAAAAATATATTATGAAATAATATAATATAATATATAATATATATATCCACACTATAAAAAATATATATGAATAAAAATATAATAATATATAATATTATTTATTTTCTCCAGGGTCTCTTTGATTTCTGATTTTGTTATATCGGTCATTAAATCTAATCCTTGGTTTAGTACCCCAGTTTTTACTATAATTTGAGGTTGCGTATTGTTATCTTTTTCTCTTGATCTATCTATGTGTATAATTCTGTGACTTTTGTTAATATTTTATCTCTGTTCTTTGTTTCTTCCCCAGCTCTTAGTCGATCACCTTATTCATTTTTTGTTCCTAGCCCATACTTATCAACTATGATTGAATGACAATTAAATCCCCCACTTATCATGCTGATTTTACTAGGTATTCCTAGTAACGGCATAAGAATGAGGATAGCCAGGAGATGTTTTCCACATTATATTATAATGTGGTAGTCATCCCGTGGATTTCCTCGTCTCTATGCCGTTGACTACTTAGTACTTAGTAGTCTCTCCGCCTTTAAAGCCCTAACCAGACACGGAAACCGTTGTTCTGTAAGCGGGATATTGCTTATACCAGAAATCAGTCGGATGTCAGAGCCTTTGTTTGTTTGTTATCTAGCAGGATGCAACAAATGATCAGGACACAGGACAGGAGAAGTTGACATTTGAGTAGAGAAGCTGTATTTGTGCATTACTATCTCTTGTATTAATGTTTAATTAATTTAATTAATGCTAGGAAATTTATTACCTATTTGTTAACATACATTTTCTCTATTGAAAAATATTTTCGATGAAATACGTTAGTACTTTAACGACAGGGCTATTTTGGCTTACCGTTACCCCCAGCCCGTATACTGTTTTTTATACAATGGACATTTTATATTGTGTAACAAGAAATTACTACTTTTTAAAAACAAATATATTATTTTTCCCGATTTGGTACACATTGGCCATGACATATCACTTTAAAATTTCTGTTTATACGGGTCCATTGACATTCCATGCATATGTAGAAATCCTCTTAGTATGTTTTATAGCATGTACTCTTCCCCAATTGGCTGCGAGTTGTTTGTAATACGATGAACATCTACTACGATTTTGAGTTTTTACCAAACTATGTGCATCTGATTAATTTTTTATGTATCCCATTAAGCTTAAGCAGTAAAGTTACCAAATCCTCACGGAACTGTGTAATGCTATATTGTTCATTTCTTATTTCGTTGAAAAGGATAAGAACATTATACGACAGCTGTATTTGTTAGTAACTGGAATTATATTAATATCTTAATATCTCTGACATATAAATATATATATATATATATATATATATATATATATATATATATATATATATATATATATATATATGATATGTCACATGTAATATGACTGTCATATAAATAAAGAAAACTATGCAGTAAATTACAAGGCAGACACGGGATAGTTAAGCAATATCTACAGAAATATTCTTAGTATGTCCAAATAATTTTTGTGTTAACAATTATATTTTAAATCAACCTGTATATTTTTAATGTGTAATTTTATTGTGTTTTAATTGTTTCTTGGTTGTTTTTGCTTGCTCTGTTTTTATATTTAATTACTAGTGCGGAGGGGCCGCAGACGTTCGGATACAATTAGCGTCTCTTAGCAAAGACAATGACGTCGACTTTGCTAAGTATCAAGACAATTACTCTACACACACAAACACACACACACACTTAATTAATAAACTTATCTTGATTGAGACTGGCTGAATGACAATTGTCCAAGCCAAAACACACACAAAAAAAAATTACTAGTGAACTAGGTGCTTTTAACCAATACTGTCAGTACTGTTTTGAACAAATCATGTTCAACAACTTGTTTAAATACTTCCCACTCTAAATCTGTAAGTGAGTCATTGTTTATTCTAAAGTGATTTTTATATAACTTTCAATCATATTTTAGTTGTCTCCTGATAAAGCTGACAAAAAATCAGCGAAATATAGAGTTATATATATATATATATATATATATATATATATATATATATATATATATATATATATATATATATATTTCTATTACATTTCTACAAGTTTTATTCGTTTTCTTCCTTTTTGCGTGATCTGCCAAACTTCTGCCTCATAAGTCTGCCCCATAATAGGCTTTACGAAAGTTCGATAGATGGTCAATTTCGTTTTTTTGTCCAATATCTTTAGACCATAGTAGAAAGTTTAGAATGTTTACCGCTTTTTCCCCTGCTTCGTTCTGTTTTCGATGTCTCTATTGGTAGTGCCTTCTTTATGTCTTATAGATCCAAGATATTTTTATTTAATATGTTTTTTTGTTTCTAATTTCTAACTCTGGATATTCTTGATCATTTTCTATTTTAAAATGCTGTGTCTTTGGCATATTTATATTGGGGACCCATTTTTTACATTTTTTCTTTAGTTTTCCAAACATGTAGCCCATGCTCTTCTCATTATTCGCTACGACTACCTGACCATCTGTACGCGATCTTCCTACACGAAATCCATTTTGTTCTTCTATGCCTTCGTATTATGATTCTATTTTTTCTTTTATCATTTGATTGCGTTTATCCCCTTTCTTGAATATTGAGCTGATGTATCTAACATTCCAATTATCAGTGATATTTTGTCCATTTAACCATTTGTTAAATAGTTAAACCAACATTTTATATAATATTTTTGGTCTATACTTTACTAACTCAATTGGGATCTCTCCAGATCTCTGGGATCTTTTGAGGACATCGCCTACCTCTCCGGTTGTTATCTCAATTATTTGTGTATTTTGAATTTATTTTACAACCCCCTCTGTGGCTCAGTGGTAAGAGCGCCTACGTTTAAATCTAAAGGTCGTGAGTTCGAATCTCATATGGGTGGAGAAATTTTCGATTATTAAAAATTAATGAACAAAAATAATTTCTATCCTTGTGCGATCGGTACTCACCGGAGGGACCGCAGATGTTCGGATACAATTAGCGTCTCTTAGCAAAGACAATGATGTCGACTTTGCTAAGTATCAAGACAATTACTCTACACACACACACACACACACACACACTACACTAGGTACCTGACTGTACCATGCCAATGATCATTGGTTGTTGAGGCATTAACTCAATAATAAAAAAAATAAAAAAAAATATTTTACAAGACTAATAAAACTTAATTATTTGCAGGACAACGACATAAGTAATCCCGAACATGTAGCTCTGATTGATTTCCAAGTAACGTGCCTTCATTCACCTATAATGGATCTTTCTTACTTTCTTTATATAAACCTATCATGTGAAGATTTGCCACAATTCAAAGAATTTGTAGAATTTTATTACAGCGAATTATCGTCTTTTTTGACAAAACTAGGCAGTGACGTAAATAAATTGTTCCCAAAGCATGTTATGCAAGAACACTTAAGAAAATTTGTGCATTATGGATTTTGTTTATCCGTAGCGTTGTTGGAACTCCTATATATAAAGAATGAAGATGCACCTCCTTTTATTGATGAGGAAACCAATGAGATGATGGGAGGTCTTAAAGACCTTAAGTTGAAGTCAAGGGAAGAATACTTGAGACATCTTGTTTCTATAGTGGATAGCTTCTTTAATAGTGGATATATATAGTATGTAATACTTAAATCATAAATTATCTTTACTTTACTTATTTTAAATAATTTAAAATAAAACCAGTATTTTCTTTTATATTGTTGTCTATTATGTGGATTCACATTTGTAAATAATCTTTGATAATAAAATCATCAAAACAAAAATATTTTTTTTTGTATGGGTACACAAACAAAAAACTAAAATTCCAAATAAAATTATAATCTATTAAATGAAAGTTGATGTAAATATTTGTGATATATTTAATGCCACACTACTTCGTTTATTCGTTTATTTGTATAGTATAACCCGACAAGCGAGAGCTGGCGGGTTGCGCGTAGAAGAAATTGAAAAGTGTTCACCGTTTAAGTCATGTACATCGTGTACATCGTGTATAACCGTTTAAGTACCTATACTATATAGCTATAATCGCGATTAAGTACCTCTCCTATCTCTCTTAGAATAATTCCTTTTCTATTTTCGAGCAGGTCACCCGCCAGCTCTCGCTTGTCGGATTATACATACAGGTCAAGGGATAGTTTTTTGTCGTTACGGTTTTTATGCATTTTAAAAAATTAAATTTTCTTTGTTAACTGTCAATGATCTGGATACGGGCTGGTTAATAGAACAAGATCTGTACAAATTGATTGACACAATAGCTTATCGAGGCCCTTGATAAGTAGCATTGAAGAGGGTTTACAGTAAATAATTTTTGCTAAGAGGTGATCATAGAAACAAATTTAAAATCTACACAACTAAGCCCCATGACCCTTTTATAACATTTTCTAAAACCGTACACGTTGGTAGATCAATTTCCTTCCTGTTTACTAAAGAAGTATTTGTTAGGATTGATTATTCTTAAGAGAAAATCGTGGATCTAATAACGAAAAGTGACTATATAATATTATATAATTTTTAATTCCAATACAAGTGCCCGTAAAATAATTATACATTTAAATTGCAAACAGAATTTGAAGTTATGCACATACATACACTGCCATATGTGACAGTTAACATGTATTTTTTATGGCAATTACATAATATAACTTTATTGAAGGTACCGTGTGTAGTATTTCAAATCACCCTGTATGTATTAAAACACCTAAATATTCTCTCAACCATAGAAAGTCGTGTATGTATGTACAGCGTTAACAGGCCTTTTAGGCCCATTGCTGGATGGATAATTTCCATCGTTTTCTATTTTTAGCTAACACCTTCCAATCTCTGATTCCCATATTTCTGACATCTTCCATCACTTCATCTCTCCATGTCTTTTTTGGTCTTCATCTCTTTTTTTACCCTCAGGTACTCTCCAAGCAATATTCTTGACTAGTCGATTACCTTGCATCCTTTCTAGATTACCGAACCATTCTAGTCTATGTTTATTCACCACTTTTGTTATTGTAGGATTAGCATACAAATGGTACACTTCTGCATTAGTTCAGCTTCTCCATTCTCTCTCTACTACTTTTCCACCAAATATTCTGTAAAGTATCTTTCTTTCCCATGCTTGCAATGTGTTCTGTATGATTTTGTTCATAGTCCATGTCTCGGCAGCGTATAGCATTCTGGGTCTAATTGAAGGGCTTAATGTGAAACAATGACAAGCCACACATGAGTTCAAAAAGAGTTAGTGCTATGCTCGGTTAAAGTAATAGTATAACAAGCCATCAAAAATTTATTTCAGCCCTTCGTTAATAGATGGGGCGACAAACCTATGATAACAGTGTTGCATAGATCTAGTTTGTCTTAGTATCTACTCGACATAATGACAAGCCACATCAAAATGGCGAATATGGGCGGAAGCGATGCGGATGTTTCTGTGAGTTCTAACGATTCTAGCGAGAAAAATACTGAAGTTCAGTCGAGACTCGATGACAGTGACCGTGATCCTGACTATGTACAATCTAGAAGTGACTCAAGTGATGAAAATACAGCGGTATGTAATTTTTTTGTTAAATGTGGCTTGTCACATTATTACCATTCAAGATTAAAGTATGATTGTTGTGGCTTGTGATATGGCTTGTTATATTATTGCATTTTGTGGTAGGATAATGAACAAGGTCCATCAAGAAAAAGGACAAAACCAAACACACCCGACAAAATCCCAACAAGTCGATGGCGACAAAGAAATGAACACTGTTATTCAAGATCAAAAAGAAAAATTTGACGAAATTTAGGACAACCAGATGTAAGCGACAAAACAAAAAATGTGCCTGGTCGAGAATTGGGACCGCCTTGCAGTTGCACTAAGAAGTGTAGGGAAAAGCTTCAGGGCCACGAGACCAATATTTTAACGAGTTTTGGAACCTTGGTTTATGGGAGTTACAAAGGAGCTACTTATTTGGATATATAGATATTGTTAAGAAGAAAAGGTCCTACCAAGGGAAGCAAAAACATCAAGAATCGCATAGAAAGAGCAATGCAGTCTATTACATTAATGTTAATGGTGAAACTACACGTGTCTGTAAAACAGAATTTTTAAATATTAATGGACTTCAAGCTTCTAAGGGCAGAGTAACTAACATTGTTCGCAAGAAGATAGAAGGAAATCTAGTGCCAGAAAGAGACAACAGAGGAAAGCATACAAACCGTGTGAACAAAATATCTGATTCGGAATTACTAAGTGTTAAAAACCACATATATTCGATTCCAAAGTATCAAAGTCACTACAGTGGACAAGAGAATATGTATAAAGTTTATCTGGACCATAACATGAGTATAGCCAGTCTCTATTCGGATTGATATGTCCCTTGATGTACAGAAGAGGGAATTAGACCAGTTAAGGAGCATACTTACCGTAAAATATTTTGTACAGAGTATAATATTGGATTCAAGCTGCCAAAATCAGACACTTGTAAGATATGCGACGAAATTAATATCCAAATAGAGTCAGCAAAATCAGAAAAAAAAAAGATTATAGCGAATTAACAACAAGACTTAACTTGCACAAGTGTAAGGCTCAGGCAATGCAACAATTACTGAAAAGCGAAACAGCCCGGTCAAAAATTATTGATAAGAAGATATGTGTTATATAGTTTGACTTGCAGCAAGCCTTAGCGATTCCCAAATTAACCACTGGTCCTGCATTTTATTGCAGGAAAATCTGGATGTATAATCTAGGAATCCATGATTGTACGGAAGTCGCTGGTCATATGTTTGTCTGGACGGAAAACATTGCAAAAAGAGGAAGTGATGAAGTTGCATGAATACTCATAAAATTTGTAAGCTCAAAGATAGGTGAAGTAGAACATCTCGTTTTCTTCACAGATAATTGTCCCGGGCAAAACAAAAACTGGCCTTTAATGTCTTTATGGTTCTAGCTAGTGAAGGAACAAAAGTTTAAGTCTATTACACAACATTTTTTAGTCAGCGGACACACTCACCTTCCCTCCGACAGGGAGTTTGCTCTTATAGAAAAACGACATAGAAAGTATGCTCCGCTTGTGTACTCTCCTGAGGAGTGGCATAAAATTATAAAAGAATCTAATAAAAAGTAGCCCTTCAAATTAACTGTTATGAAGCAGGAAGATTTCCTCAATGTACAACCACTCTTAGAAAACATTAAAAAGAGTACTCGCACTGATGACCAGCAGCCTTTGGATTTTTCCAATGTTTTTTCCTTTTTATTCAAGAGTGATAACACAAAAGCATTTTACGTTAAGCATTCTGTGAATGGTACCTACCACCCCGTTACTGTTGTCAAGAAGGGACGTCCAAATGTGCTTACTGTATCTGCTTTACAACAGAAGTATGTTGAGCCCATTCGGATTGCAAAAAAGATAATCGAAAATGTAAGGTCATTATTATTCTTCATACCTTCAGTGTATCATCCCTTCTACGATAGTTTACGAGAGGATGTCAGTCCTGATGTTGCTGATGAGGTCGCTGAGCTCGTTGATTAAATAAGATTTTGGGTATATATTATTAATGTAATAATGTAACAAGCCACATTTTTTTAAATAAAAATCGTTTTTTTCTTAAGTTTGGAGTAATTTTATTAATATTGTTGTAACTATAGTTCCATATAGCATGATGCATCGACATATCTAATCTAAAACAACAAAAGTTGTTACTGGGTTTTTTTATATTATTTTAAACATTCAAATATCTCACTTTTACCTTTTTGAGGCTGGTCATTGTTTCACATTAAGCCCTTCACTTATAGTTTTGTATACTCTTGTTTTTGTATTACGGGATATATCTTTGGACTTAATTATTTTGCTCATGGCTCCAGCACACCTGTTGTTCTTGGTCAGTCTCAGGTCAATTTTAGTTTTTTCCTTACATGTCTAATCAATAAGAGTACCTAAGTACAAATATTCATCCACTTTCTCGAATTCTACAACTGATCCATCCTCCACCTCCAATTTAAAGGATCCCCTGGTATTTATTCCTTTTTTGCTCCAGATCTCCATGTACTTTGATTTATTAATATTAACTTTCAGTCCCATTTTAGAGCGTACCCGAATCAGTCTTTTTGCTATATTTGATAGTTATTTTCCATTTTTTGCAACGAGAACCAATAAAATAGTTCCGGACCTATTTATCCCACTAACCGTTACCATTTTTTTTAGAACTATATTGAATACCAATGAAGACAACGGGTCTCCTTGGCGAACACCTTTTTTACTTCGAATTCTTCTGAGACTGTACCGTTGCATCTCACAGCACAAACGGTTTGTCTAATTATCACTTTTACCAATCTTATTACTTTTTTTCTTGCACTAGAATTTTTTTTAGTGTTTATATTAACTTGTTTCTGTCTATTGTATCGTAGGCAGCTTTGTAATCAATGAAAAGTACTTGTGCTGAAATATTGAATTCATAAAAATTTGATCGGTTGTTGATCCTTCCTTTCCGAAATCCTTCCTGGTATTCTCCTAAATTCTTTTCTATATATATTTCTAATCGTTTTTCAATTAGTATGGCGAGTACTTTATATATTACCTCTAATAAGGATATTCCTCTATAGTTTGCGCATTCAGTTTCGTCATCGAACCAGTAGTTTTTTCTAA